TGATATTATATCATCATGATGAATTGATGATAAATAACATTACTTGAAATCAAGGCATCATTTGATCATTCAAGTTGCAAAATCACGGTAACACATAGTATCTCATGATTTGAAGATTTTTTTTATTTGCTTTTGTCAAAGTCTCGACTTCTTTATATATTTCTTCTTGTTTAGGTGTAATTTAATTTGACCTCTTGTATGCTCATCTAGTGCTTTGATTATCTTATAGTAGCCATGTACACAAAACGAGTATAGTGACTATTGTGTATTCACTTGAGGAAATAAGATAATATATTTTGCATGTACAAATTGGATAAACCAGTTAATTATTTGCAGTATATTGTTATTTATATCCTTTTTATAACAATTTTATGTGCATGTTGATTCAGGTAATATTGTTAACCCGAGTTTTAGATTTTCCCATTACTTTATGCAATGGTGGCACTTTCCTATTGAATTTGACATCAATGTTTTCTCGATTTCTTCGTGCTCTTCAAATGCTTCGTAGCTACATTCTATGAGTAAATCATATGGAAATTTACCTCATCAAATTCAGTTAATTTTGCTAACATAATTCAACGTACAAATCTCCCGTCAATATTTAACGCATGACACATTAACGTTACTTTGAAAAAAATACAATTCATGCATTGCACGAACATGAAACTAGTTACCTAAAATACTTCAAACAATATTCTATGTAGTGCATTACCAGTAATATGAAAATTAGATCATAATTGTAGCGATCGAGAACTTTTGAATAATATAAAATTAATTCTCGAAAAACGTGTCGCTCGACTTTAACCCTAATTTTAAAGAAATAGCGCGTTCGTCTAGCCGTTATAAATGAATTTAAATTATTTCGAATCAAATCCAATATCTAGTAATCATTTTAATTTCAATTCGAATTTATTTTATTTGGATCTAATTTTAATAATTCAAATCCAATACTTAGAGCCCAATATTTAAGTCCAATTACCTAAGTCCAAAGATTTAAATTATAATCATTTCAGCCCAACCCACCTAAGCCCATTAGGAAAATCCTTGTCACCCAAATTTTTGGCCCAATTGAATTCCTAGGGATTTGTGCCCTAATATTCTACTATTGAAATACCATCCTCACTCTCACTCTCCCTCATCCTCTACTCCTCCACCTCATCCACCTCACGCAGCCAACTCAAAATTGGTAAAAAAACATTCATCTCTCTCAATTTGGAAACTCACCATTGATGCTAGAACATCAATTTCTAGCATCAACAACATCCCAGGTGAATGGAAACTCACCATTGATGCTAGAATATCAATTTCTAGCATTCAACAGTTCACCATTCACCAACATCACTCAAAACCGAGACCACCAA